TCTCTAGATTTGCCACACCCGCCAGCAACATTTGACGCGCCGGAATAGACGGACGGGACGACGGCGCCTCCAGAGGTATGCCTACTCTCCATCGCTCGCCACCTAGACTCTTCATTGTTTATCGCTGCTGACTGATCCTCGTGGTAACATTTGTTGAAATGGAAAAATAAGAAGAAGAGAGGCTGGTGGTGTACCTATGTTGCCTCAATCTTAAGTCCATCGACTTATCTTGCTTATTTTTTGGATGATTGAATCAGTTTCGTGTCCACTATTGATTCCAGTTAGGACAGCTATTGGGGTTTCTTCGGTGTGGACCAAGTGTGGGTCCTGTTGACCCATTCATGATTCACGATTTTTTCATTTTCTATGACCCATTCATGATTCACGATTTTTTCATTTTCTATTTTACTGCTGGAATTTGCACTTTTTAGTTGTATGGATCCGTATGGGTGTGAAGCAATGAGATGAATGTGCGGCCGATTTATTGTAGATATACTAACACATATGCTTGTGCAAATGTTGCAGGAACTGCACATCACAGCAAGCAAAGAGCAATGGCATCAACCACCGAATCGTCATGCACAACTCAGACCGTGCAAGGCACACATCGGTTCCAGATATGTCAGTTCAGTTATGGGAATGTTGGTGATGAGGATTACATCCGCTCAGGCACCTTCAGGGTGGGCGGATTCGACTGGGTTATTGTATACTGCCCGGACGCTGATGGCGATGATGGGGAGGAGTACATATCAGTTTATCTGGAATTGATGAGCAAGTATGCGGAGGCTTTGGCATTCGTAGACATGAGACTGATCAACCAAGTCACTGGAGATGCGTGTACAATATGTGCAGAGAACAGGGTGCCGAATCAGTTCAAGTCTAGCAGCTTCGAAGACGCTTCCTGGGGGCGTGAAAAATTTATCAGTAAACGTGCTTTGAAAGATTCAGGGTATATCCGAGATAACCGCCTTGTTATTGAGTGTGTCGTTACTGTGGTACACGAACTAAGGGTGTCTGAAAACAAAGCATCCTGCGAAATTGAAGTCCCTCCCCCAAATGCATTAGAGCATTTTGGCAAGATGCTGAAGGATAAGTCCAGAGCAGATGTGACCTTCAAAGTTAGAGGAGAAATGTTTCCTGCCCACAGGGCAGTGCTCTCTGCCAGGTCGCCAGTTTTCAAAGCGCAGCTAAGTGAACCCATGAAGGAGAACAAGATGCGGCACATAACCGTTGATCGCATGGAACCGGTGGTTTTCGAGGCTCTGCTCCATTTCGTTTACACTGATTCCTTGCCTACAATGGATGATCTTGACAGATCTGAAAGAAATGCCGTGGTCCAGCATCTATTTGCAGCAGCGGATCAATATGGTCTAGATAGGTTGAAGCTTATGTGTGAACGCATCTTGTGCCTGAACCTTGATGTCGATAATGTGGCTGTTGTACTGCGTCTAGCTGATCGATACGACTGCCAGAAGCTCAAAGAAGCCTGTGTCGACTTTTTGGTTCCTTCAGAGAGAATCGATGCTGTTGTGGCAAGCCGAGAATACGAGTCAATAAAGTTGGTTTCTCCCTCTCCATTAGCAGATTTGTGGGAGAAGAATACTCGTCCCCCCAAACGTTCCGTTTAGAACATGTCTAAGCTTTGGAGGATAAGCAAGTTCAGTCAGCAGATGTGTTATGAGTACTTCTGTCAACAAAACCACTTGTATTGGTGATCGTAATTCCACCAGTAGAAGTATTATGCTTATCCAGGCCCCAAGTGTCTCTGCCCCGAAAAAAAAGCCTGCCGATGTTTCTTTTGTCTTTTGGTTGAAACTGTTAGTGATTTGTTGCCCATGCATGTTTAAGCGTGTAATTGGAATATGTAGGTCTCTTTTAATTCCGCATATCTTGTCAAATGTTTTGGACTAACTACTTTGGCCCTTTGCTTTGATTCGCAACTTGGGGAGCAGTGGATTTAGTTCACGGTCGATCTCACACATGTGAGAAGTGATAATCCTTGTGATCCAGGAGATTTGCTAGTATGTGGTAGTGCTGAACTGATGACTGTTCAGTTCCTATTGTCATCTGCAGGTTAAAAATACTTTTGTTGTTGGGCTGTTTCGTGGCATCCTTTTTGTTTGATTTAGGCCTCCTTGATTTGTAGGAATTTTGTAGGTATTCTATGGGATAGAGTTTTCAAAGGAAAAGTTCCTTTTGGGACCTTTGGTTTGTAGGAACGGAGGAATCAACCCTTCATATTTCAAAGAAAAATAAATATTAGCCTAGACTCAATGAAATTTTTTCTATCAAACGTCATCTCTTCCTATGACATTTCTATCCTACGAACCAAAGGATGCCTAAAGGGTGGATAATGTGAACTTGCGTTAGAGCATCTATAAACAGACTTGGCAAATTCGACCCCTCAAATGCGCGACAGTGGCCGGTCACGTCTTAAATACTTGATTCTACAACCAGACACCTCAAATTAGAAATCTCAAATTCATATTATTACATGCAACGTGAAACCTAATCTAAGCGGAGCTTGCCTGATTCCGTTGTGCCCATGTCCGGCGGCTGGCTGCGCTCCCCAGAGTGTTGGTCCAGTCACCGATAAGGTAGAGTAGAGCATGGGACACAAGCCGACTCACGGGACTCAAGGCGCCGCCGTCTCCCATGCCCATACTCTTCGTCGTCGAAGCTCGGAACTTGAACGGTGTCGGTGGATGTCGGATCGACGATGGATCCGTCCTGGGACGAGCCGACGACATCCACCATGACGCGGTTGCGGCGCCCGGACTGCTGCACCATACGGGCGCCAGAGAATGTGACTCCGCCTTGCCGACGTCTACCGCCGCGAGGGCTGCCGCCGTCTCCCGCATCCGCTGCCCGCACCGCGGGCCCACCGCACCATGTTTTTGTCGGACGACGCCCGTTGTGCGTCCATGGCCTCAGCGCATCAACGGAGAGGCTGCGCGTCCCCCATCGCGTTCGGACGCCAGACGGACCCCACCGCCTTTAGTGAGGCGGCGACAAGACACCTAGCACCGGATCCATGCGTCATTTGGGCGGACGCAATGGATTCCCAACGGAAGGAGTTCGAACGCTGTCTCGCACGGGCCTCCTCCCGGGACCGACGAAGCGTAAGTCGGATGACCATCTCCTCCTCAGGGCCACATGGGATGAGCTCGGGGTTGACGGATCTGGAGGTGAAGGACTCAGATCCGCTCGCCATGCCGGAGACGGCCGGAGATTGCCGGGACGGGAGCTTGGGTGACGGAGGAGAGTGGAGTGAAGTGGCTAGTGTTTGATCCGGCGAGCGGATGAGAAGTAATATATGTGGAGTTGGGTGGGCCAGTGATACATCCATTTTGCATCATGTTTTCCTACTGTTATTTATGTTGTTTTATTGTATAATAATGCCTTTTGGAGTAATTCTAATGCCTTTTCTCTCATAATATGCAAGGTATGCACCAAGGGGGAGAATTCTGCCAGCTAGAAATCTGGACTTGAAAAAGCTACGCCAAGCTACCTATTCTGCACAACTCCAAATGAGCTGAAACTCCCCGAGAAATTTTTATGTAATATTTACTGAATATTGGAGCAAATAAGTACGAGAGGAGGGCCACCAGGTGGGCACAACCCACCTGGGCGCGCCAGGAGGCCCAAGCGCGCCCTGGTGGGTGCTGCCCTCCTCAGCCCACCTCCGGTGCCCAACTTCTGGTATATATGTCATTTTGACCTAGAAAAAATAAGGGGAGGACATTTGGGATGAAGCGTCGCCACCTCGAGGCGGAACTTGAGCAGGAGCACTTTTGCCCTCCGGCGGAGCGATTCTGCTGGGGGAACTTCCCTCTTGGAGGGGGAAATCATCGTCATCATCATCACCAACAACTCTCCCATCTTGGGGACGGCTATCTTCATCAACATCTTCACAGCACCAACTCCTCTCAAACCCTAGTTCATCTCTTGTGTTCAATCTTTGTATCAAAACTATAGATTGGTGCTTGTGGGTGACTAGTAGTGTTGATTACATCTTGTAGTTGATTACTATATGGTTTATTTGGTGGAAGATTATATGTTCATATCCATTATGATATTTAATAGCCCTCCGATCTTGAGCATGTTTATCATTAGCGAGTAGTCACTTTCGTTCTTGAGGTCACGGGAGAAATCATGTTGCAAGTAATCATGTGAACTTGATATGTGTTTGATATTTTGATGGTATGTATGTTGCCATTCTCTTAGTGATGTCATGTGAATGTTGACTACATGACACTTCACCATATTTTTGCCTAAGGGAATGCATTGTGGAGTAGTTATTAGATGGTGGGCTGCGAGAGTTCTAGAATCTTAAAACCCAGTTTATGCGCTATTCTGTAAGGGACCGATTGGATCCAAAAGTTTAATGCTATGGTTAGAATTTATTCTTAATACTTTTCTCGTAGTTGTGGATGCTTGTGAGAGGGTTAATCATAAGTAGGAGGTTTGTTAGTAAGAACATCACCTAAGCACCGGTCCACCCACATATCAAATTATCAAAGTACCGAACACGAATTAAGCCAACATGATGAAAGTGACTAGATGAAATTCCCGTGTACCCTCAAGAACATTTTGCTTATCATAAGAAACCGTTTTGGCCTGTCCTTTGCCTAAAAAGGATTGGGCTACCTTGCTGCATTTTGTTACTACTATTGTTACTTGCTCGTTACAAATTATCCTGCTATCAAACAACTCCGCTACTCACAATTTTAGCACTTGCAGATAGTACCTTGCTGAAAACCACTTGTTATTTCCTTCCGCTCCTCGTTGGGTTCGACACTCTTACTTATCGAAAAGGGCTAAAATTGACCCCATACACTTGTGGGTCAGCAAGGCAATTTTCTGGCGCCGTTGGCGGGGAGTGAAGCGCTCTTGGTAAGGAAACATTATTACTACATGCTGAAATTTATTGTCACTTGCTACTATGGAAAACAATCCTTTGAGGGGTTTGTTCGGGGTATCTTCACCTCGACCGGAACCACAATTAGTTACCCCTAAACCTACTACACCTACTGAAAATATTGAATATGAAATTCCTTCAGGTATGTTAGAACAACTGCTAGCTAATCCTTATGCACGAGATGGAACCGAACATCCTGATATGCACTTGATATGTGTGGATGAAATTTGTGGATTATTTAAGCTTGCAGGTTTGCCCGGAGATGAAGCTAAGAAGAAGGTTTTCCCTTTCTCTTTGAAGGGAAAATCATTGACATGGTATAGGCTATGCGATGATATTGCATCTTGGAACTGGAACCGTTTGAAATTGGAATTTCATCAAAAAAATATCCTATGCATCTAGTTCATTGTGATCGGAATTATATATGTAATTTTTGGCCTCGTGAAGGAGAAAGTATCGCTCTAGCTTGGCGTAGGCTTAAGTCAATGTTATATTCATGCCCCAATCATGAGCTCTCAAGAGAAATTATTATTCAGAATTTTTATGCTCGGCTTTCTCGTAATGATCAATCCATGCTCGATACTTCTTCTATTGGTTCTTTTATGAAGAAGGCTATTGAATTCTGGTGGGATCTTTTGGAAAGAATTAAATGCAACTCTGAAGATTGGGAACTCGACGAAGGTAAAGAGTTAGGTATTGAACCTAAGTTTGATTGTGTTAAATCTTTTATGAATACCGATGCTTTTCAAAAGTTTAGCACTAAATATGGACTTGACTTTGAGATAGTAGCTTCCTTTTGTGAATCTTTTGCTACTCATGTTGATCTCCCTAAGGAGAAGTGCTTTAAATTTCACCCACCCATTAAATAAGAAATTAAATAAATGATAAAAGATAAATAAGAAACTATCATTTACAATGTTTATCCAGTTGTTCCAACTGCTTATATTGAAAAACCACATTTTCCTGTTAGGATGAAGGAACATGCTAAAGCTTCAACTATGGTTAACAAAAGTTATGTTAGAACACCCAAACCATCTGAATAAATCAAAGTTTAACCTAGTGTTTCTATGGTTAAAGATCTCTTAGTTGATAATATTGATGGGCATGTTATCTACTTCTGTAGTGAAGCTTCTAGAATTGCCAAACCTGAAGGAAAAGATAAACACAGACCAGTTGTGGGCATGCATGTTGTCTCAGTTAAGATAGGAGATCACTGTTATCATGGGTTATGTGATCTAGGTGGTAGTGTGAGTGCTATTCCTTTCTCCTTATATCAAGAAATTAAAGATGAAATAGCACCTGCTGAAATAGAAGACATAGATATTACTATTAAACTTGCTAATAGAGATACTATATCACCAATTGAGATTCTTAGAGATGTTGAAGTCTTGTGTGGCAAAATAAAATACCCTACTGATTTTCTTGTTCTTAGCACCCCATAAGATGACTTTTGTCCCATTATTTTGGTAGACCTTTCTTGAACACCGTCAATGCTAAAATAGATTGTGAGAAACAAACTGTCGGTGTTAGCTTTGGTGATGAATCTCATGAATTTAATTTTTCCAAGTTTAGTAAACAACCTCATAAGAAAGATTTGCCTAGTAAGGATGAAATTATTGGTCTTGCTTCTATTGTTGTGCCTCCTACTGATCCTTTGGAACAATATTTGCTAGACCATGAAAATGATTTGCATATGCGTGAAAGAAA